CTGAGCGCAGAGGCTTGGACTGGATTCACATCTGTTTGCTGGCAGTCAGGAGATGTATTATGGGGTCTTGAAACACACCTTCTGACCCCCAGTTATCAGAGGTTGTGGGAGTACTCAAATTGTTATTTAATAAGGAAAGGATGGATGCAGAACTAAATAGGGACTTAAAAACATCAAAACTTTTCAGTCGCTGGCGATTATTTCTGAGTTGTCTCAAATAATTTCTCCTTTTATATATACGTCATGGTACCTAACCGCTCAAATATCTAATGTACTAGGACCCTTGGAAATCACCTAAGATGTTGTTATTGCACTTAATTTTAGACCTGACACATAGGGCAAGCAGCAGCACTAATCGATACTCTGCTCTTAATCTGCATTTTCTTGGTGCCTTGTTTGTTTTAGTTTTTTGTTTAGTTTTTTTTTTTATATTTGTTTTTCTTATTGTTTTAAGCTCGTGCTTGAGTTGAATGTTTCCTGACTTGACTGTTTTCCTCGCCAAAAAGATTCCAATAAAATTTATTTTTAAAAAAAAATATACATTTTAAAACTTAAGTAAAGTTTAGAACTAGTGTAACCTTCCTGCATTCAGCAGGCCACCAATAGCTTTGTTAGCACTGCTGACATGTGTCATGCTTGAAAACACCATTCTTTTAAAAATATCTTCCAAAAGCTTAGAACCTGCGGCCAAGCTGTGCACACGGTTAATCTTCCTTTGGCTACTCTTGTCTGCATACAGCTGGTATTTTGGGATGAAATTGGATTGGATTTTGCTTCCAGCAGGAAGCTGGTGAATTTTTGTGGAGGTGGTTTCATGGTGAGCCTCTCCTAAAGATCTAAAATCTAAAGCTATCCCTGGACACGTGCACTGACAGCCCCATTGCCTCTACCCCTTGCTGCCCTCACAAATAGAGGATTTACCCTCTGCTATAGAAATGGCCTAAGCCTCCAAGCAATAGAGCCCAAGTGAGTCACTTCTAGGAGACCTCATACATAATTAGGGATGAAGAATAAGCAACGTATTGCGTGCCCCGAGTGTGGTACCATTCACTCTATACAGAGAAGCCGATGGAACATACGCTTCTGTGTTTTAGAAACCATTTTCGGTTTGGGGATAATTACTTCCTTTGCAGATTGAACTGCTCACTAATATTTTTAAAGTATAACGTTATAATATGTGCTATAAAAAATAGATAGCAGAGATGAATTTATTTATATAAAGTGTAGTAAGTGTTGAGCTAATGCTCATAATAGTAATATTATATGTTTGATTAAGCATAATTTTCAAAGGCAATACATAAATCCACTTTTCCTTCTGTTACTTTGTGGCAATGGGCAATTTTGGAAAACGTGTGCACAATTGGAGGGCTCAGTCCACCCAAAACTAATATTTCAGCATTTTGAGGATGCTGGAGAATGAAGCTATTTAAAGGCTTGGTCACAACAAAACGTGCGCTAACGCACATTGTCTTAAAGCAGACTATTAATTTTGAATGGGCCTTCAACATGTTTTAGCACATGAAAAGTCACACCTGTGCTGCTTTTGGGCAATGCTCACAGTAACGCACAGTGTATTCACAGTCCTACATTGTAGTGTGTTGTAGCGCACTTAAAAATAAATGCCAACAATCTACAATGCATATATAGAACACATTATCTGTTAGCTCTTGCTGATGAATTTGTACATATTTTATCTAATACAACAGGAAAAGGGGAAATACTCTATAGAGGAAAATGTGGGCAGAATCAGAGCCAGAGGCAAGGAAATAGCTATAAAAAGTCCACACGAAATACAGTATAAGAAGCCCGCAAGTAAAACAGGTCAGGGTGTTATTTCTATAATCAAAATATCTGCTTTTGGTGGACTGACTGTTTACATAATTACACCATGGTATATATTTGCTGGTGGTGCTGTATGCTTGTGCACAATGCTGGTGTACCCAATCTATTTTTACTTAATTATGTGTCAGTGTGCAAACCGATAGGGATGAGTGAATTAAACAAAGTTCCTTTACAGGAGGTTCGACCAACCCAGAACGTTTTGCCAAACCCTATTAAAGTCTACGAGGGATTGCTATTTGTTTTGTTTTCCCTTTTCAAAGGATAATTTGCAAGCTATTGTTAAAAAAGGACATCGGTAGCTGGGCCCTCTCATCCCTAGTCATGACTATATTTCCTCAATAAAGGTTTTTGGTTGAACATGAGTTTCACCTGAACACAGCCTGTACTTAGTTCTCCCAACGGGTGGACAAACTGGCCATATTTTACCAGTTCCCCCCACCCAAACCTCCAGCTGATGCTTGCTTACAAACATCAGTTGGGGGTTTGGGTGGGCAAATATGGCCAGGATCTGTAATTTTGCAGTGGTCATGCTACCACAGCAAAATGACAAACAGCTAGAGGTTTAGGAGGGCTAAACTGCGAACAGGCTGGGTTTGAGTGTAACTCATGTTCAACCCAAAACCAATACCTACAAGCTAACCAGCCTTCCTGCAAATACTGATTAGATTTTGCTGTAATTGATACTTTTTGCCTTACTCAAAAAAGCAAAGCATTGTCCAAAGTGCAGTAATTCACAGCAAAAAAATATAATTTATGCAGAAGAGATGATGGGTGAAATCTGATTGGTTGCTGTTACTGCACTTTTCACATCACTTGCTAAAAATGCTGCTATCAGGCATCAGTTATCTTTCTGCGGTCAATGGAGTGTATGTAGGCTTTCTATTACAAGTTGCTGTGCGTATGTGCACATCTATGATCTTAAACTAAAAAATTTACCCCATAATATATATTATTTTTAAACCAGTGGCGCTTGTATTTATAGTCATTAGTACTTATTGTGATGCAAAGCACAGTAAACATTTTGTATTGGCTCATTTAACAGCAAAGCATTGCTGACATCCTTACAAGCTCTTCAGAATCAAAGTTGCTTGGAGGATGTAAGAGCACTAAATGTAATAATTCTCATTTTCTCCCTGCAAGGGGTAACTGCATCCTGCACTTGTGCTTCAGGCATCCACCTGTCACTCTGGCCGTCCTACCCAACTGTCACTCTATCGATCCATTTAATCCCTTTTATTTAGAAATCTGTTGCAGGCTAATGTTTTTCACTATAGGAACATTCCATTCTTTCTTAGCCAGAGTACTTCCATGTGTACAGCCACTGAACACCCCACTGGGGCTAAATCACAAAACCTGCTACAAAAAGTGTGTTTGTTGCCCTTGCCAACCAGATTGCAGCCGTTTTAGTGTTTTTATATTTTAAAATGTTAATACTTCATAAGTATGGTATTTAAAACATTTTGATATTATAAAATGTTATTACTTATTAAGTATGTTAAAACATTATAATTGCACATTATTCGTATTACCATTATTTTTTTGTTTTTGGTTTGTTTCTCATGCTTAACCTTGTAAAAAAATTAATAAATAGAAAGCAAACACAGGTAAATTAATTTCATAAAAATGTAGAAACTTTATTATCACATCTGAAATACACATACCAAACTGATACATAATAGAATAAAAATCTTTATATACAAAAAATACATTTTCATATCAATGAAACATTTCTTTGAATAAATTAAACTCTGGTGAGGCTCCTAGTCTGAGAACTTCAATTTACCAGATTGAGTCCTACCTACTCTATAGGAAGACAGCAGTAGAGGAGGTCATGATAAATAATGTATGAGCCCAAGGCCTTGTCTCCTATTCAAGTTCTTTCATTGTATTGTCGGGGTATCCAAACCAAATTTTCATGCTCATTTTTCTTCGTGAGAGTTTTACAAATTGTAAAATTGACTTTTCACCCAGTGTGCATCAGGAAAAAAAAGCAAACCCTTTTTTTTAATGTATTTTTAAAGAGATGTCTTGGCAAAAAAAAGGCTCTGGTAGGAAAATAACACATTTTGTGGATTTTTTTTTTTTAAAAGTGCAAAAATAGTGAAAGCCTTGCTGAAGTGGTTATCTTATTTCACAACGATTTGGGTTTCACTGTGAGTTTGTAAGAGTCTTGGAAGAATGTGAAGACCTTACAGTACAAGTCCTTAAGGCAGCATATAGACTTTTAGGTCAAGCCTAAGTTTTAAAATATACTATAGTACACATGAATTTTAAAAAAGATTCACATATTAGGGCAAGAAGAGATGGTCAGAAGCCTAAAGTCTACTGGTAATGAACATAGCAGGAGGAGTGCTGTTGCATAAGGTTTTGTTGGAAGGTGTGTAGTGAAAACGTGTTCTCTCTGTGCCCATAGTAACAGTCTTCAGACATAGCTGGGCTGCTTGGGTTTGAGGTACATACTGAAAAGGAGGATGATGATGAGGGAGAGGCAGTGGACATCCAGGATCCAGCATCACTGCCAGGGCTGGATGGTGCTGCAGGACTCATGTAGCCAGAGTGCACCATGTCTTTTTCAGGCTTGTCTTTGCAATGGTCAGCTAGTCTCAAAGTTTCAGACAGCGCCCAGATGTAGTTATGGGCCAGTCTCAGTGTCTCAATCTTGGTCAGCTTGGTGTCATCAGGGAAACAGGGTAAGATGCCCCTGAGCTCATCCAAAGCTGAGTTGAGGTTGTGCATCCTGCTCCTCTCTCTGTCATTGGCTTTGACTCTCCTGGTCTTTTTGATAGTGTGAAGAACAGCTTCATTTTTCACTCTGCTCCTCCCTCTCCTCTTCTTCTTCTCCTCCTTGTGTTCTTGACACTTGTCAGGGGTTTGTGTTGGAGAGGTGAGGTGACCAGTAGAGAAGGGAGATGGGGACTGGAGACTGGAGCAATCCTCATCCTCTGATGGAGAAAATGACATCTGGCTGGAGGCATCATAATCAGAGTAGGCTCTGTCCATGGTAGATTGATTTCTGGAAAGAGAGGCAAAGGATAATAAGTAACCAAAAACTACTGAATCTATGTTATAATAACAGCAAGAAAGATACAACAGAAACACGAAAACAATCATCATTGGCTATGCTAACTGATTACAGCTAGCTACATCAAAGAAGTATAAAATGTAAGAAAACATAAACATAATAACATAACACTAAAACTGGACTCCTCAGCATAGCTCAGAATAAATGTTAAAAGGGATCACTCTTTAAACCTTAGCAGATGAAGCCCAATGGTAATAAGAAGCAGGCAGGTAGCTACAATAAGTTGTACGCAGTAAGTGGAGTGGACACTCATACTTACAGTGAAGTGGAGACAAGTCTTGAAGAGGAAGAAAACTTCAGATCCTCTTGTGCTAAAAAAAAAAAGGGGACACGCGACAGCTCTTGTCTTTGAAGTGATCCTTGCTGCTATCAGCTCGTGTGAGCAGTGAGTTTGGCACACGACTGGCCTCAGACACCTTATATAGGGTGGGAAACAATAGCCCCCTCCCCACTGCTCCCCCCCGGACTGGAGGATGAATGAATCAAGGCATCAGGTCTGCCCCGTGCTGCACTCTCTGTGATTTGCATAATTTATGTTCCCAGCTTCCATTCTCCCCCGGGAGTGTGCCTATAATTACAGCAAGCCAATGGCCGGCCACAGCCCTATCTGTGACACGTGAGCCGGCACCGGCATAAGCCGACTTGTTTGAGCTTCATTAGTCTATTAAAAGAAGTGGGGGAGAAGAGAGAGAAGAAAACAAGAACAAAGTGATTAGCCTGGAAGGCACAGGCACGTTCCGAAAGAAAAGCTCTTTAAGGGGTTATTGTCGGAACAGCTTACATTCTAGAACTTTCATTGTTACTTCTGCTGACAGTCATTCTTTATTTCTAATACCCGCTTTTCCTTATTTCTGTCCCACCTATTAGATTTCTGTCCTTTTACCATTGCACTGCATCTAGCCAACCGATATTGTATCTGCTCTCTCCTTTCCTTGTCTTTTTTCCTCTATCATCAGTTTATCAGTACAGTCAATGTATTAGCTATTTCACTTTTCTTCTTTTATTAATTTCTTTCTTTATTCCTGCTTCACCTATTAACTGTCTGTATTACCGGTGCCATTTCACTGCATCTACCAACTTATTTTATCTGATCTTCCTTTCTTTCTGTGCTGCGAATGTGTTTGGCATTGGTTACAAGAACCAATGTATTACCTATTTTAAATTTCTTCTTTAATTACTCTCTTTGCCTTATTTCTGTCTCACCTAATAACTCTCTATATTTCCAGTTCCCCTGCATATATCAGATATATTCTTTCCTTCATCTCTCTCTCTTTCTCTCTCTCTCTCTCTCTCTCTCTCTCTCTCTCTCTCTTTTTCCTTCCCTTTCTTTTTCTCTTTCTATTTCTTCCTCTTCATCAGCTTATCAGAGCAACCAGTTTTATTACCTATTTCATTTATGAATCTCCTTTATCTTTATTTTTTGTCGCATTTGTCGCACATGTGCAGCAAACACGGGAAAAACACATACAAATGCGCACGAGCATGTGTTCACACTATGCAAAGTGTGAATGGGGCATACAAGCTCTTATAATACCAACGTATCTGTGGCTATGTACAGAGGCACACTATAAATCTACTATATAGCACCCATAACCACAGTTGGACATTCCTACTTCCTAGCATATATCCCACCTCATAGGACTGGAAAACATAGTAAATCATTTTAATTGTAACATGTGGAAATAACAATATAAATAGTGCATCCTGTTCTGTATTTTTGCATTGGAATCACTTGCGGTGTATGAGGTTTCACATTTGTTAAAAGAAATTTTAACAAACATAACTATTAGTCCTTCCTTTTGCCAGTACTTTGTATACTTATTATGTTTAAAATTTTTGTTTACAGTGCTGGTAACTCTGCAATGGCTCATAAACATACTGTATACTAGCTGAAGGAAAATAATTCACTTATAACCTATTTCATATCTTCTTCAATCCTGAACCAAAAGTAATATTCCTTTACACCAGGGTTAGGCAACATTGGTACTCCAGCTGTGGTAAAACTACAGCCCATGAGGCATTGAAAGACTCTGACAGCCACGGGTATGACTCCCAGAGGCATGATGGGATTTGTAGTTTCACCACGGCTGGCGTGCCAAGGTAGCCAATAAATCTCACATATAGTCAGCAAAGAACCCCTTCACAGGAAACACTCTTGCATGTACCCAACTTTAGACTTCTGGCCTTATTTGAATAGACACAGGATTGTGTGTGGCTGGGACAATATATATATTTAGCTGGAATGCATTGGTTTAAATGTATTTACCATCTTTATTATTTAAAAGCTTTATATTAATGTACCCAGAATAATTATGTCTTGCTGGCTTACTGACTGTGCTGCACGCCAAACCATAGGCTTATAGTATTATAGTATTGCTATATACCTGCTAAATACAATGATATGTATGCACAGGCAACAGGGTAACTACAGTAAATTTACTAATGAGTGTGTGCATGCCATCTAGGTGGGAGCATACCTGTAATAAAAATTTGATTTTCTCTATGAATAATGAGGCAGATAGTTTTTTTGGTGTTAAAATGAGTAGGCATGCTTAATAACATGCAATGCGTAAAAACATTCCGTAAAAGTAGAATGTGAACATGTGAATGTGAACATACTCAAAAAAGCCGTAGTGCACTCTCGTACCGCACCCGAGTGACACCATTGGAGGGGTGACAGCGAAATGACCGACAGTCATTTTGGTGTCACCACCTCTAAAAAGCCCGACAGTATCAGGAGAGAGGGGGACACACGGCAGTATACCTCATCCTGCCGGGTGAACGTCCCGTTCTCTCTCTGCCGGCATCCATCACTAAGATGGCCGCCGGCAGGCTTCAATAGACAGCACGTGCATGCGCGATGACATCATGATGGGGTTGTCACCCAGTCTCCGCTCCGTGTGACACCCGGCCTCGGGACGCCCTGCATACAAGTTTTTAATGATCAATATTCATACATTTGCTGCCCTTTCCTCTCTGTCATCGCAGTGAATGGGTGCTGGCCGGGTGCATGCGTGTGTAATTCTTTTTTGGGGTGCCTGTCACAGTACAGTAATTTTGTGTTTTTTCTTTTGACATAGAATGTTAGCACAACCACTCCTTACAACATGCCGTAATCTGGGGCTGCACTGTACTTATTGAAGTTAGATTAGTGAATGATTTGTGGGCAGATTCAAAGATCGCAATCCTGCAATATGAACATACAGTAGAGATTTATCCCTTCTCTTGTTTACTTTCCTTTAGTAAATGTTCCCCCATGTCTGACACAAATATTGGACTATGTGGTATTGATTTTATTTTTTTATTTATTTAGTTCAGATATTTATATAGCGCCAACAATTTTACGCAGCACTTTACACATTCACATCAGTCCCTGCCTTAAAGAGCTTACAATCTAAGGTTCCTATATCACATGCATACAGACAGGAGCCAATTAACCTAGCAGCATGTCTTTGGAGTGTGGGAGGAAACCAGAGTGCCCGGAGAAAACCTGCGCAAGCACAGGTAGAACTTACATACTCCTCACAGATAGTGACCTGGCTAGGATTCAAACCAAAGACCCCCAGAGCTGTAAGAGAGAAGCGCTAACCTCTATGCCACTGTGCTTTTATACTCAGATGAACTTTATGTGCTCGCTCACACTAGCTGCATAGTAAAGCAAGGCACTGTTTCCTTTTTTTGTTTATTTTATTAACATAATTTGGAGTGTACACTCCATTCATGTCTCTGTACAGCAGTGGTTTGCTTTGTGCTGCGGTGCTGTAACCTCTGGTGGCATCCAGTGGCCTGTGTAAAAACACGGTATATCCGCATTTCTATAGCAACTCACCTCACCACGCATCAAACCCACATTGTGGTGTGAACAGGGCACAAGGAAGAAATTGTTTACTATGTGCCATAGTGGTGACTGTCATTGGTACGGGCCCTATATGTTTTTCCTATCTGTGTAGAAAATCAATACAATATATTCCACTAAGCATATTATACATGGCTATGGGAATTGCTGGAGACTTAAAATCAGACACACACACACACACTTCAACATTATTAGCTGTAATGTAAAAACAGACAGCAGATCAAAAAAGTATTATTTTTATACATATAAGTTGGCAGTGGCGTCACAAGGGGGGTGCGGCCCGCACCCGGGTGACACCATTGCAGGGGTGACACCAAAATGACTGACGTTGATGATGTTTGTTTGTATCACCCCCTCTAAAAAGTCGGGCACTTGGTCATGGACTGAAAGCCCGACAGTGTCAGGAGAGAGGAGGGCAAAACAAATGTCAAACGCACTCATCAACTCATAACCAGCTTTAAAGCAAAGTGCACATGGAAGGGCTTTATACAATACAACAGCAAAACGTTTCCCAGCACACTCACCAGCCAGCATGCAACATGCTGGCTGGTGCAGAGTCTTCTGCAGAATATGTGAAAGTCACACTTCCTCGTCAAGGATCCTCTGTGTAGTGTGGTCCTAACTCTAACCTATGAGGGTCTCCATCTTGGAGCACATGTAGCAAAAGATAAAATTGGGTGCAGGTTCGCCAGGAGGCAGCACACACACAGGGGGACCCCGCACATCACAACGGCAGCCGAGACCCCCAGTGTGTTACTGCACCAAATTAGTCAAGCAAAACAAATGGCAAACACACTCATCAACTCATAACCAGCTTTAAAGCAAGGTGCATATGGAAGGGCTTTATACTGTACAACAGCACTCGTCCAGGCTCCTCTGTGTAGTGCGGTCCTAACTCTAACCTATTGTTTTTAACCTTAGCGATTAGACAGGTTTTTTTTTTGCATGCTGGCTGGTGAGTGTGCTGGGAAACTTTTTGCTGTTGTAGGAGAGTGGAGGGGACCTGGTGGCGTACCTCATCCCACCGGGTGAACGTCCCCTCCTCTCTCTGCAGTGCCCATCACCAAG